CTTATTTTATGACTTAGACATAATTCAGAGCATTTGTAACCATTGTCCAAAAAAAAAAAAAAAAGTGTTTAATGTTAGGTAATATATTTGGGGAATATCTTCTTAGGTAGATACAATGCAGTAAGTTTTCCTTGAATTTGTTTTGTGTGTGTGTATATATGTGTGCAGAAAATCCTCAGTAGTGCAGGCTTCACTGGAAGCTTAAAATTTGTACTAAGGGAAAATTAAAGTCTTTATCTTCATTTTTAGAAAGTCTAGAAGCAGGTAATTATGTGTTCTCTTGTCCTTTTGCAAGTCAGCTTAGTACCAAATGTGTTTTGTGTATCACCTGGGATTAAACAGCAGGTTTGGTTTCTTCTAATAGTACTGTAAAGGAAAAAAAAAAAATCACTGTGGTTGCAAAGCAAGCTTCAGAAAACTCTAACTTTATAAAAAAATCAAATTATTTTCTTCTGAACTAGTTTAAAAACAAAATAAGCACTTATCTTTTGTTGTAAATGTCCAGTTTTTTCTCCTCTCCTCTTCAGAATCTGTTTATCTTAGATAAGGATGAGGGGCCACACATACACAGATGCTTATAGGAATATTTGGGTTGAAAGGGGTTTCAGATGTCATCATGCTGAGAGCACAATCAGTTGTGAGACCAGACCAGATATTTTGCTTTTTCTTTAATTAGAAAATTTTGTTTGAGTATTTTTGCATCAGGAAATTAATTTTAATCTGTATTCATGTCGCATCCAAAAGAATGACATGTTAGGACTGAGGCCTTGCTCCAGTAGCAGTTCTAAACTCTGTTTAAACCAACAGGAGTCCTGACATTTAGCAAAGATGTAATCAGTTCCAAGTTCCTGAAAGTTTCAGTCAGATTTAGGAGTAATATATTCAGATTTTTCCCTTATCTCACGTTTCTTACAGTGTTCAAATATTCTCTGAAGCATGCCAACTTTCCTGGTACAAACATTCCCTTCATGTTCCTCTGAACTTCAGCCTTCCCATGGGCTCTGTCACTCATCAGTTCTGCATGGAAATGCTTGGGGATTGCAACCTCTTTTCCCAGCAAGTGGTATTTGTACCAGAGCCTGCAAAGGACCTCCTTTCACAAAGAGATCTCCAGAAGAGAATATTTTCAAATAATTGCTAATATTTATCACTCAAAGGAAAGCATGTAGAAATAAATGACAGTGACTTGTCAGGGTGCAGAAGTGGCTTTTGCAATATGTCTGTTGGGACAGTGGGTGAAAGGGGTGGGCTTTCATTTGCAATTCAGGTGTGGTAGGGGGCCCTGAAGCCCAGAAGATGTGCAGGATTGGGGAAAGAACTATTTAGTAACCTGGGGACAGCTCCAATTAAGCTGCCTTTTCTTCATCAGCTTTGGCATGCTGCCAATTCCCTAACCTATGTTAAATCTTACTATTATGAGGGTTGGAATCTCATTTATCCTGTTTATCTCAAAAAAAGAAAAGAAAAGAGCTTTCTGCTGGAAGTGTCATTTTTTAAAAAGTTTTTCATCTGTACTCTTTATTGCCCTGAAAATTTGTAAATTGGTTATTGTTTGTTCTCCAGATGGATCCTGTGCAAAAAGCAGTCATAAACCATACATTTGGAGTGTCCATTCCCCCAAAGAAGAAGCAAGTAATTTCCTGTAATGTCTGCCAGCTTCGTTTTAACTCTGATGTGAGTATTGCCAATTTTCTTCCTTAGTTTTTTTTTTTTTAAATTTGGTCCATTAGGTATAATTAATCGTAAATCTCTTTCTCCCAAATAACTCATCCCAGCTACATGCATTCTGCTCAGCCTGGTGGGTTTTTTTGTCCACTCAGAAGCAGAAGTCCATAGAGCATGAACTCTTAATTTTCTTACATAGCTCTGGCATGATATCCAATGCCACATCCGTAGGTGAGATCCCATTTGATGGTACAATAACCTTCTACAGGTATTGCAAAAAGAAATGTTTGCCTGAGGTTTTTTCCTTAAAAAAATGAAGTGAAGCAGAAAAGCTTCCCAGTGAGTTCTCCAGGTCATATTTGCTTTTCTTCCAGAAGAAATAGCTTTTTCTTCTTGTTTGGATGTCCTTGCTGATATGACTTTCCATTTTTTAATAAAGGCACTCTTATAAATACTTTCATCTATAATAGATATAATCACATAGTTCTAGCTGCCATTTTGAGTATGACAAATGCAAAGAAACTGCTTCCTGGAGGTTAATTAAAAAAAAAATCATTACAAAAGAGTAATGGTGTTTTAAAATGGTGCAAAAAAGAGGTATTTTTAAAATATATAACCATTTAAAGTTTCTTCTTAAGTAGCTTGAAAATTAACAAAATTCAAGGAAACTGTATCTAAGAAAATTATAACCTTTGACAGTTAAGGAGTATGTATTTATTCTTGGAGACTATTGTTAATGTCATTGAGTTAATAAAAATAAACTCAAATTACTAGATTTTTTTTTTTTAATCTTTAGGTAAGAATAAATCCTGACATGATGTGTTAATATTATATATTTTTCTGTCAAAATTTTGGCCTCTGAAACAGTTTTCAGGCACCTCCTCCAAAGCCTTTGAGTATTTTGTGCTCCTAGAGGTTTGCAGTAAAGCACCCATACCCATTACCCTGGTTTTCTCTGCTTCTAACATTGCACTTTGAAAACTGTTTTGTGAAGTGTTTTCCCCAATTTGCTTTTCTTGTCTAGGCTGGTAAGGATTTTGAAGCAGTGCTATCTCAGCTTCAAATTGATTTCTAAATCTGTCATCATTTGACAAGCTTATTAAACTTCCTTTGAAGTGGCAATATCTGCTTAGTTAACTCATCTCAAAAGTCGTTATTTTAAATTTAGTTTGCTTGTCTTTCTACTTTAAGGTTAAGATTTAAAGGGGGAAAAAAAATCTTTTCTGCTCTGATACTTAGTCCAGGTGTTTCCTTTTACTGATTAAATCAAGGAACCAATAATATTTCTTAAAATTTTCTTTGCCTTCATGGATCTTGCTTCTGAGGTGGATCTGTCACCTATGAGATGGCTCAGGCTGTCCTCATTCTTCCCTCTCCTCTTGAGGTCAGGGTCCCCCTGATGATGGGATGTGTCCCCAGAGGGGTCACTCACTTTGTGCTGACATTCAGGTGGACAAACAGCACTTCAGGCAGATAAACTGAATCACGGCTGAGTGACTTGAAACAAAACCACCAAACAAACAAACAAAAAAAGAGCTGAATATGTTATATCATTTTTTACCTCTGACAACCAAGCAATTTTTCCTATTTAGACTTACAAAGTAGAACAGGAAGTGCATGTCATATTCTGCTTTAAATAGTGGCATCACAAAAGCATGGCAAGTTATAGCTACACTTCTTCTGGGCCAGGTGTATTCAATAGGGTGGTGTGATCTTCCTAAATTTGGTAAGCATATTCAGTTATAGTTACTAGAAAATATCACCATCCTTTTGAAATGAATGGTTGTAAGAAAGGATGAAGCATTGTGACTTTGATACTTTACCTGCTGAAGTGCAGCACCTTACTTTCTACAGCAATTTAGTTTACCAGGCCATCCACAAACAATAGAGAAATTTGATTTTGGAAAGTGCTATGGTTACAGCAATATTACAAATACCAGAAGATACTTAAATATCAATCTAATTTCACAATTGTTTCTTAACCTCAACATCCAGGAATATTGGGAGAATGAGTTTTCATAGTGTAGTACTTCTATTTTAAAAGCTTTCTAGTCTTCCATTGTGTTATTTAGCTTCTCCTGAGAAGCTGTACATAAGATTCTAAATTTTTCTTCAGGTTCAGTCATTTAATCTTAAGAATTATTTATATGAGCATATGCTGCATCTTTTTTTTCTGAGAGTGAGATCCTATCTTATTTGGATGTTATTTTTGCCTATCCAAATAGACACTCCCCCCCATAATCTGCATTGTAATTGTTTCATTGAGGTAATGGTAATGGGGTTTCAACCAAGCTCTCCATCTTAGCTTGTTGAAACTCCTGCACAGAAATAAAAATCTGGACTCTGTATTTTTCCCTTTGGACCAAAAAGAATGTGAAATTATGCTCAGGGCATAAAATAATCTTTACAATCTATCCTTTCTTTGCTTCTTTTGGGAAGAAGGGAATCATATAACTGTGAACCTTGTAACTGCTGAATCTTTCAGGAAATCAGTTCCACCATGACATGCTTTTGAGTAGCATCAAACTCTGTTAATCTGCATTAAGACTTCATTGCACATTGCAGAATGAGATTAGTAGTGCAGTCACTCCACACTTGCAGTCACTCCACACTTGCAGTTTCTTCTGGCTCTACAAGGCTGACATACTTCTTGTTGTTGATAGGCATTCTATTCCTTTGAACTTTCTCTGACCTAAATTATGCAACTAAATGAAATAAAAATGTCAAAACTGAACTATGAAGAGTCTTTTTTTGTTTTGTTTGGGTTTTTTTAAATTTTATTCTCCTAAATGAATTTCATTAGTATGGTGTTTGAGGATGCTGGCTTCATTCTGGTGGTGTTTTATCAATTGCATAAGAAACACAGACAGTGGTTATTCATCTGTGAGAAGAAAATTGGTTTCCTTGCCTTCAGTCTTTTCCTTGTGCTATGGACACTCACTGGTCTAAATCAATAGACCAAAGCAAAAAAAAAAAAAATCAAATTAGTCAATTTGTAGTTGTCAAACCTCACACTAAATTAATAGAGTGAATTGCAAAGGTTTGGGTTTCTTTTACTTATGTGTCTGCACATAGCTTTGGTGAGAGTGTTCTGGCACACATTTAGCTTTGGTGAGAGTGTTCTGGCATCAGATTCAGAGGCAGGGATCTGCAGCTACTTGGAGGAAAAGAAAGATAGGGATGGAAGGAAATTTTAAATTTTAAATATTTAAAAATAGGTTTTCTTGAATGTGGGATTGTGCGTGTTGAAGTGATGGCTTCTTTATTTTCAAAAATAAAGTCCATAGAATGATTTTTCTTCTGCCATATAATTTGAATAGTATTTTCTAACTGAACTCTTCAGGATCTCCCAGTCTTCGATTTTTAAAAGTACAACATGAAGAAAACTTCTGTGTACAGATTCTTAATTTTATCTAGTCTTCACTTGATATGTCTGTCCTCTTCCAAAAAAAGAAATCATAGTATTTGACTCATACTTACAGACATTCACCATCATACTCCGCCTGTCCTTTTTTAATATTTCTAGCTGCATTTTGGTCAAATTTGAAGTTGTTTATTTCTGCTAATAAATTTTGCTACAAGTAGTTTGGACATCCCTTCCAATCTCTGTCAACTCCAGGATAAACTGTAGTATGGAAAAGATGATTGAAAGTCTCATAAAACAGAAAAAATATAAGGTCATCTCTGAAGTAACAGCAAACTGAACTTGTCTTAATAGCCTGAACTTTGTAGTCCTTCAGGAGAATTATATCTGTAAAAGTAATATCAGCATTACAGCAATGATAGCTGAGGTTGCCTTCAACAACATTTTTTTGCATGATCTCCTTAAGATACCGCAGCTGGAACTGAGTGGGATTAGGTGCCTAAATTTAAGTGTCTTGCTGCTGGAATATCTGAGGTGCCTGGGACATCCACAGCAGGCTGACAAAGGATACCTGAGGACATGCCAAATTATATGGGATGCCTGCCTCTAGAATAGAACCCCTGCTCATTCAGTGTGCCTTCTGGTTTACTTTTCATTCTTCTTATTTTAATTTTCTTTCTTTTATTTTGAAGAGGGGAGAGAGAGAGAAGCAGGATGCAGCAAGGAGAAAAAGCATAAAAGTGTAGGAATAGAGGAAGTGAAATGAGCAAAAAATGTGAGGAGGGTATAGAGGAAAGGTCTCTTTCCTAAACTTGCTTTTAATGGTGATAGATAGCAGGAGTCAAGTACAGTTGAAATAGTTCAGAAATCTCATTTTAGGAAAGATAGTGTTATGAGGATTGATATTGATGATGTTGATTTAATAGTATTGTCAATGAGATACTTACTCTAGTATGCATAAACTTCATTCTGCTATACAGAGGAACACACTCTTTTTGAAAATAGTTAAAATAAAAAAAGGAAAAAAGCAATATTATCTCTTACCAGTTGCAATTGGATGTGCTTCAATGTTTTGGAATAAACACAGGTATTTCCATCTTTGCATCAAATTATCTGTAAACACCATGTGATGACATAGCATGTGCTCCAGTGCAGCAATGACTAATATGTCAATGAAGTTCAAGCTATGGTGTTGTGTTATAATCCAGCTCAGAAAAAAGGAGAAATACTCAGTTACATTTACTACCATGGGAGGCCAGGCAGTAGAAGAGGAAGAATCCTCTCCATGGAACAGATTGTGATTGTGAGTCAGATTTTACACTACGTGTATTCCACCAAGAGGAAGCAAGACATGCTGTGAAAGATCTAGCTTAACCTTTGAAGAAATACTTTGTTTTTTCATTTTAAGAATTTAGGTTTAATTACATAGGTTTGTATGGTGATAATAATTTTATATACTACAGACATTCTAGCAAAACCAAAAATCATCTTGAGTGAATGTTCTGGTTCTGCCCTGGACAGGGCTAATTTTTTGCAGTGGCTGAGAGAGGCATGGCCAGGGGCCTGGAGACTGTTCTACATCACCTCCCATCCTTGCTGGGAGCTCTCTTTAAGAAGGGGTTCCCTCCACTCAGGGAAATGTGGC